TTTCATCATCAAAATTTGAATCTAGGGGAGGAAATGTGGCCGGATTCATCTTGGAGAAATTAACAGTTTTTACTCCATTATGGTGTGTGTTTAAATTTCATAATTCCATGTCTTGTAACATCTTTTTGGAGAGCCTATTTAAGGTGTTCTCCACATGAAGGAAATCACACAGAACACAAAAATTACACACATTCTCCACTAGTTGTCTCAATTTTTCTTGAGTTCTTTTGCAGTCTTGAGGTCAGTTTTGGTGATAGAGGGAAGGTGCAAGTTCTACCTTGCCGGACGGCTCTGATAGTGCTTCATGCTACCTTCGTTGTCGTTATATTCTGGGAGACAAACGTCTAACGTAACCTCAAGCACTCGCCGGAGGAGACAAATCTGTTTTAAAGAGAGCGTGATTTACGTGCCGCGACATCATCCTTCTCATTTCAATTTGGTTTTTCAAGTTCAGTTAAAGGTTGAATTCGTGTTGTACCACTTTTCAATGCAATAAGTTGATATATATATATATATATATTTTGTATTGTTTTTCTTTGTATTTTTCATATTATTGTCTAACATTTTTTTTGGTCGACCTGTTCATACATATAATTTAGTACTTCGTATGCTAATTTTAACGAGTTGCATGTGTTGTCTGCTGTCATTTTACTTTTATTGTAATGTTATTGATCGCCTTATCAAGATATACATGGAAGTGTGTTCTACTGTCGTTGTGGTTATATTCTTTTAATATGATCAAAGAACCGTGGTGCATAGTTGATATTTTTGTTGGTTGATATGTTTGTTGAGAGCTATACGAAGATGATTTTTGTTGAGGCTGTTTAGCTTTTTCTTTTTTTCTGCTTTGTTTTTTTCTTCCAAATAATGCTTAATTTTCAGAAAATAAAAAAAATAAAAGAATGACTTCAAAGTCACTCAAGATTGGGACATGACGGACCCGTTTGGTAAATGTTTTCAAAATAATTTTGTTTTCAGTATAAAAATGCAAATGAGATTATTTTAAAAATCATTATGGAATCGATTCTGAAATGGTTTGAGTGTGATAAAAAAGTAAAATCGTGTTTGGTTACATTTATGTTGGATTTGAGTTTAAGTAATTAATAATTGTTACACCACGGTCAAGGAATTGACTGCTCCTTCGGACGACAAGCACCGAGGCCTCCACGTCAAGACATCAGTCGCTGGCATCGAGGGATCAACTGTAGCTAATGTGCCCTTCATACGTCGAGAGTTCGTACGGGATGACGCGCATCGAGAGCCCGATAAGGTGGTAAAGGCCACGATGTTGGGGCAGCGGTCCAGTCCAATCCAAAGATAGTCCTATTAACTCAGGGAAATTCATACTGTATCAACTACTACTGTCGAAGTCAGGAAATCAGGTAGTTGGTAAGAGTGGTTCGCCTGATTGGGAAGCTGTAATCATGGAAATACAACTGCCAAATCCCAGAATTAAGGGATTGATGATGATCTCCTTAGGAAATGCAGAGGGGGTCTCTCATATGTACAAGGCCTATAAATAGAGCCATGGGAATTCATTAAGTTTTTTACGCACACTATTATACTACTCCAGAGAGAGCTTCTAATCAACAAAGTAGTAGTGCATTCACAAGTGGATTAGGCAAAGAATTTTAGCCGAACCACTATAAACTTGTTTCTTCTTTATCTTATACTGCATCATTAATCCCTAATCAACACGTGAGAGAGATTATTGCGAGTGTTCTCTGAGAGTTAATTCCTTGTTGACTGAAATCCACCGTCAACAATTGGCGCTAGAAGGAGGGCCCTGACCCAAGAATCAACCCTACAGTAGGCAGTAAACATGGCTCCTCCGAGAAAGACTCGCAGCATGACGGCAACTCAGAAAAGCCAGGAAGGTTAAAACTCAGCCCTCGGAGGAAGGAATCCGGCGAATCCACCCAACGGCGGCCAGGAACCCACAGGGGCACGGCCCAACCGCAGGGCACCACCACAGGTCATTAGAAACCCCCCAGACCGCCTTGACCAGCTCCAAAGATAGGTTGAAACACTTGCTGTGGCTGTAGAAAGGATGGCCACAGCCCTCGCCGGATGAGAGCAAAGGCCAGATTCCATATCACCGTTAGAGGATGCACCGATGAACCCGGTGAATGTCACCGTCAGGAACCAAGTAATTGGTGACTGAAGTGGTGACGCTGAGGGGGTCGGTGAAGTAGGGCCAACAACCCTCATCCAGCTAGGTCGAATAGATCTGTTGGGAGCAGGCAATGAGTGGCCAGGAGGAGAGCCTAGGAGAGGGCCGAGGCCCAGACGACGAACGACCGAGAGGTACCTCCTCGACCGCAGAAGAACGTGAACTGAAGGAATGCGCACCCGGTAGAATCCTCGACCACGCGTGGAGGAGAGCTGAGGGTACAACTGAACGCTCAACGCGGCCGAGACATGCAGCGGACCAATGAAGAAGAGCTTGCGGCCGAGAATAAAGCATTGGCCGAAAAGATGGCTAGACTAGAAAAGCAGATAGGGAGCCGGCTGAACAACTTCGAACAAGTCGTGGGGAAGGTAGCTGAGGCCGTGAACATCGACGCCAAGATGTATACGTCTCACGACCACCCCTTCACAGAGAACATAATCTAGGTGCCATTGCCCGATAAGTAGAAGCCGCCACCTATCCCATTATATGACCCCGACGAGCACCTGGAAATTTACACGGGGCACATGGTCCTACACGGATACCCCGAGGAGGTCATGTGCCGTGGATTCAGAAACCATCTTTCTGACTATGCCAGAAGGTGGTTTAGGTCCCTAAAACCAAACTTCATAACCAGCTGGGATGACTTGGAGAACGCCTTCCTCATAGGTGTCAAAAAGTCCATTCCACCGAAGCAAAACCTGTCAAAGGTGTACCAGGGACAAAATGAGTCCCTAAAAGATTGGATAGCCCGGTTTAGGGAACAAGTGGCTGCCACCGAGGGGATCACTGATGAGGTAGCTTTGATGGGGGCCCTGTCCATCATGAAGAAGGACATCCTGTACAGCACGGACCTCGACGGAGATCACCCCAGACCTACCAAGAATTCCTGGCAAGGGCCCAGGGATTCATCAACACAGAGGAGGCCAAAAAGGCCCTAAAAAGCAAGGTGGTGGCTCCCACCAAAGAAGAGGTGGGACAGCCGAGCCACCAAAACAACAGTAAGAAGCACCGAGGTAACCCTCAGGTGCAAACGAAATAAAGGTACAACTCGGCCCCAAACAACAGGGGTGGCAATGCCTCGACGAGGTAGGGGGACACCAAGCGTGCCAAGCCACAAAAGTATGATGCCTACACCCCATTAACCATGGGGATCAAGGACTTATATCACAAGATCAGTCACCTCTAGGTACTGCATCACTTACCGCCGCTGAAGTCCGATCCAGCACGGAGAAACCAAAACAAGTACTGCAGGTTTCACGGTGAGAGCGGACACACGACCAATGTATGTTTCGACCTAAGAGATGAGGTCGAGAGGTTGATCCGAGATGGGAGGCTCAATGAGTACCGAGCCGACTGACGGGGCAATAATAATCAGAGGAACAACGACTGACGAAAGGACCAAAGGCAAGACCATCCCCCCAAACCCGTCGGCATGATAAGGATGATCTTTGGAGGGCCGTACCTTGGTGGGACCTCTCACAACGCACAGAAAGAATACGCAAGGGAGGTGAAGGACAAGTTCAACTAGAGGGTTATGAGCGTGTCTGGGAGAGAGACGAAGGCCGCAAGATTTGAAAAGACTGAGATCACGTTCTAGGAAGCGGACGCAAACGGGGTGCATTTCCCCCAGAGTGATGCTCTAGTAGTGGAGGCCATGATCGAAAACCACACGGTCTGCCGTATCTTAGTGGACAACGGCAGTTCAGTGGACATCATGTATGCTGATTGTTTCAACAAGATAGGGATCCCTCGAGTGAGACTGCAGAACAGCATGCAGCCCCTGTACGGCTTCACCAGGGATTGTGTCATTCCTGAGGGACTGATAGAACTACCCATGACAATTGGTCACCGACCACACACCTCAACCATTATGTCACGGTTCTTAGTGGTGAAGAGGGGTGACCAATACAACGCAGTCATAGGGCGGCTGATGCTGAGGGCATTGAAAGCGGTCACATCAATCTATCATCAAATGATAACATTCCCGACCCCTAGTGAAGTCAGAAGAGTCAGGGGGAATCAATATGAGTTGAGGCTCACATACTCAGAGACAGTCCGCCACTACGCCGAGCCAGGGCAGGCAAGAAGAGAGATGAGGATGGTCGTGACCAACACGGGGGCGGCCGACCTAGACCCAAGACTCTCAGACGAGGGGACAGGAACGGGGCTGGTCAAAGAATTGATCGAGGTCCCCATCGACGAGAAGGAGCCTACAAGAAAGTTGAGGGTAGGCTCAAAACTTGAAGAGCGTAGCCGGAAAGAGCTGGTAGCATTCCTCAGGGGCAACCCTAATGTGTTTGCCTGGACCCACGAAGACATGGAGGGAATAAGCGTGGAAATAATGATTCACAAGCTCAGCATAGACGAGAAGTATCCCCTCAAGATGCAAAAGTGTTGACCGATGAACACCGAGAGGTATGAAGCTCTACGGGAAGAGGTCGAATAATTAATAAGAAATGACTTCATCCAGAAAGTCCTGCACCCCGAGTGGGTTTTGAACCCTGTACTAGTATTAAAGCCCAATGGACAGAGGCGGACCTGTGTCGACTTCAGCGACTTAAACAAAGCTTACCCGAAGGACAGCATTCCGCTCCCAAGGATAGATCAGCTGGTTGACGCCACAGCATGGCATGAACTCCTGAGTTTTATGGACGTCTATTCTGGCTACAACCAAAAACTGATGTTCCACCGCGATGAGGAACATACATCGTTCATCACTAACAGGGGCATGTATTGCTACAAGGTCATGCCCTTTAGCCTTAAAAACACGGGAGCAACATATCCATGCCTAGTCAATAGGATGTTCGCGGGCTAGATAGGTAAAATGATGGAGGTGTATGTGGATGACATGCTAGTGAAGAGCAGGAGGTCCAAAGATCATGTGGGAGACCTCAAGGGAATGTTCGACGTACTGCGGAAGTACAGGATGAAGCTGAATCCCCTTAAGTGCGCATTCGGGGTCAAATCAGGAAAATTCCTAGGTTTTATGGTGAATAGTCAGGGAATTAAAGCTAATCCAGAGAAGGTGCAAGCGCTCCTCGACATGAAATTGCCACGAAAACAAAAAGAAGTCCAGAAGCTAACGGGTTGTATTGTCGCACTTAATAGGTTCATTTCGAAATCTACATATAAGTGCATACCATTCTTTGACACCCTGAGAGGGAGCAAGTCGTTTCAATGGACAAAGGAGTGCGAACATGCGTTCTAACAATTAAAGGAACACCTTGAGAAGCCACCCCTACTGTCCAAGCCTATGGATGGAGAGGTGCTGAGCCTATATCTAGCAGTCTCTGAACATGTCGTTAGTTCGGTGTGGCCCACAAAGAGAAGAAGGTGTAGCTGCCAGTGTATTACACTAGCAAGCACCTCCTCGACACCGAGATGAGGTATCCGCAGATGGAAAAGCTCACCCTCGCGCTAGTGGTGATGTCGAGAAAGCTACGCCACTATTTCTAGGCCCACAGTATTTAGATTTTGACAAACCATCCCCTCAGGTAGGTATTGTAAAAGCCCGACGCTTCTGGGAGACTCCTTAAGTGGTCCATAGAGCTTAGCCAATTTGACATTGACTGCAAGCCACAGATCACCATCAAGGGCCAAGCCCTGGCTGACTTTGTTGCCGAGTTCACAGGATTACCAAATGAAGCAGAGGTTGTTGGTGGGCTTCCCTGATGGAAACTCTATGTTGACAGAAGCTCCAATGACAACGGCAGTGGAGCTGGGTTGGTGTTACATACCCCAGAGGGTCATAAGATAACCTCAGCCGTTAGGTTCGAGTTCCCTGCATCCAACAATGAAGCAGAGTATGAAGCATTGCTGGCCAGACTCCGGTTGGTAGAACACTTAAAAGCAGGGGCTATAGACATTTTCAGCGATTCACAGTTAGTCGTGAACCAGGTGAAAGGCCAATATCAAACTAAGGATGAAAAGATGGCAGCCTACCTTGAGAAGGTTAAAGAGGCCTTAGGAAAATTCTGGGCTTACGACATACAACAAGTGCCAAGGGCAAAAAATAGCAACACTGACGCCCTTGCTAGGCTAGCCACCTCAAAAGAGACCAAGCCAAGCTGGAAGGACCCAATCATTAGGTATTTGCTCGACGGTGAGCTCCCAGAGGACAAACAATAAGCAAAAAGGCTGAGGTACCAGGCGTCGAGATTCACCATGCACGAGGATATTCTTTATCGCAAGGGGTTCTCGACACCCTTGCTCCGGTGCCTTGACGAAGAGAAAGCAAAGAGGGTGCTCTCAGAAGTACATGACGGGATATGTGGGAACCATGCAAAGGCAATCCCTAGCTTATAAGGTGCTGAAGCAGGGGTATTACTGGCCCAACCTCAAGAAGGAAGTAGCCGAATATGTAAAGAAATGTGAAAGCTGCCAAAGGTACGCACTCATCCCTCGGCAACATTCAGAGGATCTAACGTCGATAGTCTCTCCTTGGCCATTTGCTAAATGGAGGATTGATCTCATCGGCCCATTACACAAGAGCCCTGGGGGATACAAGTATGCCATTATAGCTGTCGACTACTTCACGAAGTGGGTTGAAGCCGAGCCACTGACAACAATCTCAGAGAAGAAATGTACAAACTTCATATGGAAAAACATAGTTTGCCAGTTCGGTGTATCATAGTCTCTCATATCAGATAACGGGAGACAGTTTAACAACGATAACACCAACCAGTTCTGTGAATTGCTGGGTATCCATAAGAACTTCTCCTCTGTCGTACCCCCAGTCCAACGGACAGGTCGAGGCGGTCAACAAGATCATCAAAGTTATGCTAAAGAGGCGTCTCGACAGCTACAAAGGAAAGTGGGCATATGAGCTACCAAAGGTCCTATGGGCCTACAGGATGACCACGGGGGAAACCCCATTCTCGATGGCTTATGGGGTGGAAGCAGTCCTTCCAGTTGAGGTATCCATTCCTATCAGCCGAGTGATATGGTATGAAGAAGATAAGAATGCCGA